ACATGAAAACCAAGAATAATTGCTGCGGTGCAAATATTTTTGACGCCATATTAATGCTGGAATTTATGCAGTGAGCAGCTTATTTACCAGGAAAAATATGCTTACCTTCGTCGCGAAGGAGAATCACGTCCATCAACTATAAAAAAGGACAGGCAACAATGATTGATTTCATTATCAGCCGACAGTTTAGTCTACCACAATAGGTCACAAAGAGGTGAAGCCATTATAAAGATTTCAAATAATCTACGCTTCAAACAGCGCCATACTCATTTTCCCATAGCATTCTCCCTCTCTCTCGACCTGTGAATTCATTAAATCGTTACCGGTAAATCACATAAAAATATCTTTTACGGCAACACCTAAAGCATTTGGTGCGGTTTGTGCTTGCAGAGGTATTGTGTTTAATACTCAAGCTAGAGTGGTCGGCGACCAGTGATGTGCGAGAAACGAATTTACCGTTTTAATCTGCTTATAGTTAGCGTTTCAATCTGCCCGTAAAAAACAGATTGTCTCTCATCATTGTCATTCTGTCTTTCTCATCATCGAACAAATCTGTCACATGAGAAGACAAAGAAGACCAAGATACAGAGACGACGCGCGTCCCAAGCATGACAACGGCGAAGTAACGCTGACCGATACAAGTTAATTAAGTACCGCTGACCGGTAAGAACCGATAAGAGACACGTCAAGAAATTCACTAGTGCTACACTATCAGAGAATCGCAGATAATTGTTACTGGGAGATACAAAAAGCTTTGTGTTGTTGTTGTTTTTTTCCTCTGGTTAGCTGGGACATTGCGTCTGTGTGTTATAACACGCGAATTCAAGCCAAGAAAACCACGAACTTACCATGATTAAGTTGACTACTTGCCGAAGAACTTGGACGGCTTCCTCTCACTTCTAGATCATAAAGCCTACAAAATCAAACAGATAATCTTGTTGGTTTATTTTTACTGGAACATTAGCACATCTTTAATATAAAATGAACTACAAGAAGTAACCCAGGTAGTCTCAGTCCTTATCTGTGGAAAGAAAAACTGTACAGGGGTAGGATAATAATGAACTCCAACACCCACATAAGGCTATTGACTGATTGTTGCTGACTAAACCAACAGCACCCACGTTACTAAACGACAGTCAATAGACAGAGAACTGACGAATTAGCGTAAGAGAATAAAATAAAATTGACTGATGCTCAGATAGCTAACAGAGGTTAACAGTTATTTGAGACCTGTTTCGAGAACAAGAGAGTTTTATATTACAAAGTACTTTGGGGGAAAACTGCTCTCATAAAGCATCTAAGACATGAAGAGAAATTCCGCGAGGGACTGGGGAGAGACGCTGAGGCTGCTTCGCAGTCTGGGAGCTTTTCTTCATATTGTCAGAAGTACAAGACTAAGGTCCAACATATGTTAGTGTCTAAAATAAATTATTAATAACTCACTTCCTTCTCAAAATTTCGTTCTCGTCTTTCAAGCCATCCAGTTCTCTCACTGCAGCTCTGTAGTCGAGCTGAAATACGGAAGCAAAAGAAAAACAATTAAAACAAACATTCCAAGCTCAGACTTTATAATTCTCTTCGCAGATTCTCGTATGACGGTAACCTGTAATCAGTCATGCAAACGTTCGCAACCTACCCAGTTTTGATGAGCCTTTTTCTCCATATTCGATAACTGGAAAGAATGAAAGAAATGATGTTTTAGATCACAACAAATGAGGAGGGAGGGTGGAGCAGTTATCACAAACTGAGATGATTTTCTTACTGCCAAAAAAACTCAAATCGTTTATCCACAGCCACCGTCTTTGCAGACACCTGTTACTTCCTTAAATCCATGGAACATCCGCCAAAAGAAAACTACACCTTTCAGCACCATTGTTGAACACAGTGTCTGGACAAGTGAGCTTAATTCGACCTTGCATGGGCCAATTCTCTTCGCCAGTAATCTCATGAGGGGAACATTCATTTCAAATAATTACAAAGATAAAATGAAACGTTACACCAACCTGCTCCTTCTTGCTCTCATCGATTTCCTCAATTTGCTTTTTGATATCTAAATATAGCTGCCTAAAAAACAATAAAAAAAGAACATTTTCTATTTGTAGTCTTAGGCTTAGAATAATACTTGCAGTAAGTAGTGACTCCAACTTAAACTTTTTTCTCTTGGAATTATAAGTAATAAATATGTGTACGGAGAGGGGAGCATGGAGACGTAATTATTAGTGGACTGAAACTTAAAGCAAGAGATAAAAGAATGTTTAGGCAAACAGAAAAATGCCTGGGGGGAGGTGGGGTACTTTTGATGGACTAGCAACCCGTCCAGGAGGAACAATACCCCCAGTCGCTTCATACTGCCTGGTATAGTAACTGGAATCAAGTCACATCTTACTTAGCCACTAACAGAACAATATGTATCCCGGTTGATAATTGTCACAATTCCTACCACCTGCTAGGTTAACAATGTACTGCAAAGAGAATTTAGATGTGATCACCGTGAAAGGATAATTTAATTGCACACTTCACAAACTTTTCCAGTATCCTCGAGTAAAAGAATAAATGATTAACATGACAAACAGCAGAAGAGCAATTACCTGTATTTATCGGCATCCACCACAGCAGTCGACGCTTTAGCTTGTTCGGATTGTAGTTGGTTCTCGATAGAAATACGGGATGACTCCTCAGCAGTTATTTTCCTAGAAGAGCATACACATATACACTAAAAATATATTTCTTGTAGAACAGCGACAGCAAAACTTTACCATTAACAAATGTAGCTATGGTCAGCATTTGAACTGATTACATGTATTAATGCTAAGCCTCTTGCCTTAATGACAACTACTTTGCACTTGTCCTCGTTCTTGTTTTTTCACTTTGTCATGTGTAATTTCATATGGCCAACTACTGTCAATGGCTCACAACTTGGTCTTACTGTGCAGTTATAAGTTTGGTTATGTTAGCAAGAGACGTTTTCAAGTGAGTGTCGAAAGTAATTCCGATTTGCATAGGCTTTGCACTGCTGTTTTAAGCGGCTGGCTCTAAAACATCGCTCCACTTTGTCATCCAATCAGAGGTAAAACCCAAACCAATCGTGACGCGCTCGGAGACGTTTTCCTGCGCTTCGAGCCGTCTGCCTGTATGTGTGTCGAGTTTTGATTGGCTCACTGGATTGTCTATGTACGTTCTTTGTGATTGACCTGAGTGACTACTTTGGAGTTGGTTTTACGACACCATATTGAAAAGTGCTCTATTGACAGCAGAATAGACAATCGGAGACAAAAGTACATGTAGTTGAGCAGATACGTTTATATTCTTCCCGTTCTACTTTTTCAAATGCATCTAAGAATTTATCTCTGATTTCTCCACTACACACTGCACTAGACAAGATAAAGTCACCAACCTGTGTAATTCCACTTCAGTTGATTTGAAATACTTCTGCAAGGCTTCAAGTTCAATTTCTTTCTCTCGCTGTGTCAGCATGGCTTGACTGGCTTTGCTTTCAGCTTGTTCCAATCTCTCAGTCTTCTCCACATTGTCATCTGCAAGCAAAAATAATTCAGGTTTTGTTCGACGATCTTGCAACCCTCTTCAACACATTCAATTCCGTTTAACTTACAGTGTTTGCTGGGGTAAAAAATGAAAGTTCTGTTGTAATATTTTTCATGCAAGCATCACTCCAGACTGCCATTACACGGGCAAGTTACATTTGTAAAACGTGAAAGTTAAGTTTACACTGGCAAAGTTGGAAGACGACCCATGTTCTGGGCTAGTATATTACTTACTTTCTAACATCTTTCTGATCCTTCTGAGCTCCTCAGCCTCTGTTTCCAGTTCTGTGACCTTCTCTTGCAATTTCTTATTTTCCGTCGTAATCTGGAACGCAAAGCAGACAGTTTTTTCTCCTGTAGAATTCAATCCACAACAGAGCTGCAACCATACTGATACATTTACTGGAGAGTCATCATATCAAAGAGAGTTCGTTCAGATGTTTCAATTTGTATTGTCAATACCAGGGTTGGCACAATTGCGATATTTTTGAGAGAATTGTTTTGTAAAATTACAGCATAT